TTTCCTAATCAATTATATCTTCAAGTACTCCTCAGCAGCACAAATATTCGGTATGCTTAGCAGGAAAATATGAAAGTAAACTGAGATGGGTCAGTGTAACAGACTGAAAAGAAACTGCTATTTTAACTCACCCAAGCTTACAGGCCAGGGAGAAAAGAAGATGCTGACTATTTCTGCCACCTCAAAGGCTCCCAGTCAATTGAGTACAAAGAAGAGTTCAAAGGCAAGGCAGGCTCCTGACTTCCACCTCCTAGTGTGGCTGAGGTTAGAGGTCACTGCCGGTGGAGCCACTGACCAATAAAAGAATGTTTGGAAACTCCACTCAACAGATAAACCGCGGATCCATTTACGCCTTTCTCCCTATCCACACAAACATTTCCAACTATACAGTCCCGTGTCTACCCAGCCTTCCAAGATCCTAGATTGCTTTCTTTTCTATTGTCGTTCAAGAGAGACTAGGAATATGAATGTTCCTTCTGACTACAGAAGAATATTCAGTTGCATACATCTTCCTGTCTTCCAATGTAAGAAAGGTGGTTGATAGGGCTCTCCACCTTTAAGGCCTACCTCAAATGCTACCCCCCCCAATAAATCTGTCCCTGACAACTTTAGCCCATAACTTTTCCCTTCCATTTCAGATCCCTAATGTACTTTGGAAAATGTGCACCATTTTCTCAACTTTATACCCACACATCACCAAGATAACGATTAGGCCTTTGGAGTGGGGATCACAGATTTATTACTATCTCGCGCCATCTCGAGACCCTTGAAAAAAAACACTTAATTAGGGCTTCACTAAGTTAACTAGTTAATTTAGCTTGTGGGATGATAAAAGGCCAACTGATAAGTTGGCTTTATACTGTTATAACTCTCACCCTCTACTAATTGAAGGAACTGGTTTTTAATTTACCCACAAAGAAAACCTTTACGCTCTCCCCACCCCCAGCTTGTCCAATACTCTCGTCAGCTTTCAGGAGTAGATAACTTATTGTCTTTAGGCTCTAGCCTCGTACTTAACTTTAGGGCTGCTTCGACATCACATCTAAGGTCAGGAGGCAAATTTACCTACTTTTCCTTGTCAGGCAAAGCGTCTCTGCCTTGGTGCATCCTACTGCTCAAGTCACGATGAAGACTTTCACCGTGGTCCTCACCAGTCACACTGCAGCCTCCCTCATCCCGAGCTCTAAGCTGCAAAATGTCACTAAAATATTTCCATCACCAAGATTGCACCCCCACTCCGCTGGGGTCAATTCAGAAACATAGCTCTCTTCCAACTACAGACAGCAAAAACCCTGTGCTCAGCACTATTTCTTCCTCACCTGAAAGAAATAGTCTCTGGAGACTGACTACGAAGACAATGCCAGTAAGAAGCACCTTAGGATTTCTTGGAAACACTGACAGGGTCCAAAGGAAAAGGAGTCACTTAAAAGTGGATGGAGACCTCTGCTGGTTGCAATTGTCCCTGCAGCTTCTCAAGCTAGTTTTCAGCGGCTGAGCAAGAAATTCGACTGTTGCTCAGGCTCAGCTCATTCTGACCTATCAACCAGGGGCTCTAAGGCATCAACTACTGATACAACAGGATTTCCCTGGAAATTTATACCTGTCTGACAAAAAGATCCAAATTTGACCTCCATAAAGAGAATTCACTAAGGTGTAAAAACTTTCCAGAACCAAGTGTGTACTATTTTTTCAGGCACTCCTGCCAAGGTCAGGTTAAATCGATGGGTTAACCAGAGGGCAAAATGACAAGCAGATTCTGCAAAGGATCCTATAGAACAAAAAAACTCTCTCTAATCTTAGATGAGAACTTCACTATCAATAGGACGGTGGTTCCCAATCAAAGCAATGTTGCCCCAAAACCGGACAGTTAACAGTATCTAGAGACTTTTCTGGTTATCACACCTTGGGAGAAGGGTGTGCCTATTAGCGTCTATCAGCTGAACCTGGTCAACCTTATACCTCTCTGGGAATTAGTTCAACCAGGTAATCTCACCTTTGGTAGAGTTCAGTCTAGAAATCTGAGATTGGGAGAAGAAAAGAGGTCATTTTGGGCATACAGAATATTCAGGGAACGGGAGCAGGACTCCATGGGGCACTGCAGTGGACTGCTTTAGAAGGTCTGAAAGCAGTAGAGAAGAGGGACATGAGAAAGCGGAAGGAAGACTTGGAAAAGGAGGCGGGGAAGTGCCAAGACTGCCTTTCTGTCCAAGTTGACACAATGTGGGGCACTCACCACCCGAGGAAGTGACTGGCCCTTGGGCCTAGAGGCGTGCAGCAGAGAAGAGATGGCCACTGGGCCATTCATGTTGTCAAGGACGGTAATATTCTTGCTAAGAACAAGAGGTTCACAGACGTTTTAAACAGCTGAATGGGGGCGCCTGGGTGGCTCAGTTGGTTAAGCGACTGCCTTCGGCTCAGGTCATGATCCTGGAGTCCCGGGATCGAGTCTCGCGTCGGACTCCCTGCTCGGCAGGGAGTCTGCTTCTCCCTCTGACCCTCACCCTTCTCCTTCTCTCTCTCTCTGTCATTCTCTCTCTCTCAAAA